GGGCCCAGCAGATTATTATTATTATTATTTTCCAGATTTTTTATTGTCATTACACGGTCACAAGTACGGTGCAACGAAATTCACGCTCTCCCTTTGGGGAGCAGTAGGCTGCCATTGTGCAGTGCCTGGGGAGCAGTGGGGGGTTAAGGGTCTTTGCTCAAGGAGTCAGGGGGGCAGTCTGTGGGCACTCTCAGGATTCCCAGCGCAATGCCCAACCACTAGGTCGCCACTCCCCAAAGCAGATATTAGCATGAAGTGTCTTGTGTAAGGACCAACAATTGCAGCTCATTCCACCCAGCTGGGATACAAACCCATGCTTCCTGTAGCAGGACAGGTGACTTACCATTTGAGCTAGCCAGCCGCTCATTATTGTATGTTCAAAAATAATATAATGTGCAACCCAGTTTTGGATTGCCAAACATCAAAGTGCTGTCAGCTGCAAGGGGTACAGGCCTGAAGAAGAAAATCTACTCTGCATTCTTGTCCTTCAGGATATACTCTCCCACATATGGAGCTGTGCTGAGTCTAGTCTCCAAGACCAGTTCTCATCATTCAAAGTGGCTGGATAGGTTGGCCAAATGTGTATGGATGTCTGTTCAGGTGAGAAGGAGGAAATCAGGGCATACCTGATAGCCTTCAATGCAATAGGCCCTTTCTTTCATGTCAGGGCCTCCCAGACCTTGAGGAAGGCATCTGCCAACTCCTGGACAGTCTGTGGTGCAACATGACGTTGGTGGATGGATCAGACATGATGTCCCAAACCTGGATTGGATTCAGGTCTGCGGAATGGGCGGGTCAGTTAATAGCTTCAATCACTCATGAGGTCTAGAATTGTCTTGCATTAGGGAGGAAACCAGCCAACCGCATCAGCGTATGGTCTCAAATGGAGTCTAAGGATCTGATTTTGGTGCTTGATGGCAGTCATGCTACCTCTGGTGAGCACATGGAGGGGCGTACGGTAGAGTCCTGCACAGGTCGAGTTTTACCAACCCGCACCCGCCCGAACCCGTTAGGACG